AAAAAAAAAAAAAAAAAGAAGTAGCAGCATAAGATTGGTGGTCAGTGACACATCCCAGTGCAACCAGAATTGTTATGAGTACCACCTCAGGTAATTCCACATTCAATGTTGGTGCCTCGGTAGGCTGGTATGCCATATCTGGTACTGCTTTCTTTGCTGTCTAGATTAATTTCAACAAACCATTTGTTTACCTCTCCCTTCCCTGTATTCGTCTCCCCACACCATCTTTCCCAGCAGTGTTTTGTCACCTCCCTATGTTTTTACATTTACTCTCCCAGCAGCTGTCTACAAGCTTATATGGGATCCCTTGTGTTTTACAGAACATCTTCCCTTTGTAGACCTTGTGAATTCTTAGAATGCTATTCTTCTCTAAATCTTCTGTATACAAAACTCTCAATTACATGGAGATTTTTGCTGTTTGCAAGAATGTCAGTCTTAAAAGAGTGTGAAGATAAACCTGGAAACCCTATTCACTTAGGGCATTCCTTTCCCTTCTAACCTAACAGGTTTCTCTTCATTTAGGCATGTGTAACTCTTCCAGCATTGTTGAGAACATTGACTAAGATAATGCATGTGAAGATGCTTTGTAAGCTCTAAAGCACTATAGAAATTTCACTGATACTGTTTACCTGTGACCTTCACATTACAAAGATCGTGCCCAAGAAGCCAGCAGAGGAAGGAAATGATTCGAAGGGAATGTCAGAAGCATCTGGCCCACAAAATGATGGGAAACAGCTGTGCCCCCCAGGAAAACCAAGTACCTCTGAGAAGATTAACAAGACACCTGGTAAGAGGAAACAATTCGGGAACAACCCCTCTGGCTTCCCTGGCTATGTTCAGGTGTGGGGACTGGGTGTGTGGCATGGATCCCAGAAAAGCCTGGGTCCAGGCTGGGCTGAGGAGCTTGCCCAGCTCCAGATGAGATGTTAGACATGACTTCCAGAGACACAGACTGGAGTTGTCATCCATATAAAAAAAACCACGTGACTTGGGGCAAGTCTTCCAAATTTTCTCAGCTCCAGTTTCCCTGTCCATAAGATGGAAATAAAGAATCATAGTTCATAAATTATTTGGAGGCATTAAATTTAATCCCGAAGTCCTGATGACATGAAACGTGCTCAAGCAATTCTATCTTTGATAACCTGGGATCATGTCTTACTCAGCTCAATGCCTGATACCCAATACAGGTGTACGTCAGAGATATTGCAGGTTCAGTTCCAGACCACTGCAATAAAGAGAGTCTCACACTTTTTTTTTGTTTGGTTTCGCAGTGCATAAAAACATTATGCTTACACTATACTGTAGTCTCCTAAATGTGCAATAGCGTTATGTCTAAAAAATACATACGTTAATTCTAAAATAATTCATTGTTTAAAAATGCTAACAAACTTCTGAGCTTTCAGGGAGTCATGCTCTTTTCTGGTGGAGGGTCTTGCCTCGGTGTTGATGGCTGCTGGCTGATCAAGGTGGTGGTTGCTGAAGGGTGGAGTGGCTGCGGCAGATTCTTAAAAGAAGACAACAATGAAATTTGCATTGATTAGCTCTCCCTTTCATGAAAGATTTCTCTGTACTATGTGATGCTATTGGATAGCATTTCACCCACAGTAGAACTTCTTTCAAAGTTGGAGTCAATCCTCTCTAGCTATGAAAGGTTTAGATGGCGTCACCTTCCAATAGAAGGCTATTTTATCTATATTGGAAATCTGTTGTTTAGTGTAGCCACCTTTATCAGTGATCTTAGCTAGATCTTCTGGATAACTTGCTGCAGCTTCTCCATCAGGCTTCTCCTTGCACTTTTATGTTATGGAGACAGCTTCTTTCCTTAAACCTCACAAACCAACCTCTGGTAGCTTCACACGTTTCTTCTGCAGCTTCTTCACTTCTCTCAAGCTTTCATGGACTTGAAGAGAGTTCGGGTGTTGTTCTGAATTAGACTTTGGCTTAAGGGAATGTTGTGGCTGGTTTCATGTTCTATCCTGACCACTCAAACTTTCTCTATTTCAGCAGTAAGGCTGTTTTGCTTTCTTATTCTTCTGTTCACTGGAGTATTAGTATTAGTGTTTCCTTCAAGAACTTTTCCTTTGCATACACAGCTTGGCTGTTTGGTGCAAGAGGCCAAGCTTTCAGCCTGTCTTGGTTTTCAGCATGCCTTCCTCACTCAGCTTTGCCATTTCTAGTTTCTGATTTAATGTGAGAGACATGCAACTCTTCCTTTCAACTGAATACTTAGCGGCCACTGTAGGGTTGTTTATTGTCCTAATTTCAGTGTTGCTGTGTCTCAGGAAATATGGAGGCCCAAGAAAAGGAAGAGAGAAGAGAAGAGCTCATCGGTGGAGCAGTCAGAACACACACAACATTCATCGATCAAGTTTGTTATCGTCTATGGGTGCAGTTCCTGGTACCCCCCAAACAATTACACACAACAGGGTGATTATAGGCAATAATAACTTTATCGTACATTTAAAAAAAACTAAAAGAGTGTAAATGGATTGTTTGTAACACAAGGATAAATGGTTGAGGGCATGGAGACCCTATTTTCCATGATGTGATTATTACGCATGGCATGCCGGTATCAAAGCATCTCACGTACCCCATAAGAATATACACCTACTGTGGACCCACAAAAATAAAAAACAAAAATTAAAAGCCTAAAAAACAACAAAGACAATGACTCATTAAAAACGGTGACTTATGCTGTAATCCCAGCACTTTGGGCGGCTGAGGCAAGCAGATCACTTGAGGTCAGGATTCCGAGACCAGCCTGGCCTACATGGCGAAACCCCGATCTCTA